GTGGGACGCCTCGGGTAGAGCAGCTGGGGTGCTGCCGGGTTGGTCCTGTGGGAACCTACCGGGCAGCGCCCCAGCTGTTCTGTCTCAGGCTCCAGATTCAGCAGCTGTTGAAACTGATCAGGCTGATTCCAGGAATCTGGGGGCAGAGCAACTCTGCCTCCGGCCTCCTGTAGTCAGCCCCGGGTCAGTTTCAGTGGCAGCAGCTGAATCTAGAGCCAGTTCCGACTAACATACAAATTCAACTTAAGAACAAACCTATAGTCCCTATCTTGAACGTAACCCGGGGACTGCCTGTATTTAAAAGACAGAATGTCTTTTAGAAATACTACTATACATCTGTGTCTCCCTCAACAACATACTCTTCTCTCTCACCTTCACTAGGATCCTGGGACCGCAGGAAGGTAAGAGAGAAGGGTATGGGACTCAGATACTCGACCCACAGACTCAAAAACCTAAGTCTCATTTTAGGCACCACTGTGATCCACATAGCCACTGATCAGCATCCTGGGCACCTTAACTCACTCCAGGTTTAGGTTCTACAATAAAGGTTCCCTCAATGCTTATATTTCCACTACTGAGCATGTGTGCTATTGCCTTCCTCCAGGCATCTAGACATTTACCTCTCACCTAAGCCACAGTGTGATCCCTGAGTGGGGGGAAGACAGGTGCTTCTCCACCTAACTCACATGGATAAAAAGTCCCACCATTCCTTCTTCCTCCTAACCCTTTCATACAGAGAAGGTATAATTTTAATTTAGATTGAGAAGACCTGCTGAGATACAGAAAAATTAGCCTCAGGATTCTTCTGATGGGGTACATAAGCTACGTTGGGATAGCAGAGGTCAAAAAACAGTTCTGGGCTCAGATTGCTTTGCCTGCAGCACCTGAATAGTCAGCTTCAGCAGAAAGAGAAGCTGAAAAGGGTGCCAGACAGCTCAGAGGTTTGGAGGGCAGAAATGACACAACAAGGGGATGATAGAGGTAGAGAGATCTATCTTAGGAGACTCTGCCTGAATACAGGGACCTATCTTTGACTACAGCCTGCCTGACACCCAGAAGATGGTAAAGCCCAGGAATCTGAGACTAGCATGAAAAGAAGATGGCTACCTTCTTCAGTTGTTTTATGCTATTTCCTCTTAAACTTTACGACCTTATGGGGAAGCAAGTAGTAGGAAGTAGGCCAGGGAGGCATCTCCAGAACACCCCAGAATGTTTGTCATTACTGGCCTTCATAGAAACCTGGATTGGAGAATCATGGAGAGAGAAGACACAAACTCCACTACCATCATTATTCTTCCACTCTACTCTGCACTGATTAAACCTCAGTTGGAGTACTGTGTCCAGTTCTGGGCAACACGTTTCAAGAAAGATGTGGAGAAATTGGAGAAGGTCCAGAGCATAGAGCAACAAAAACGATTAAAAGTCTAGAAAACATGAGCTATGAGGGAAGACTGAAAGAATTGAGCTTGTTTAGTTTAGAAAAGAGAAGACTGAGAGGGGACATGATAGCAGTTTTTAAGAATCTAAAAGGGTGTTACAAGGTGGACGGAGAAAAATTGTTCTCCTTAGTCTCTGATAATAGAGGCAATGGGCTTAAATTGCAGCAAGGGAGGTTTATTTGGACATTAGGAAAAAATCCTAACTGTCAATGGATAAACACTGGAATAAAATTCCTTAAGGAGGTTATGGACTCACCATCACTGGAGATATTTAAAAGAAGGTTACATAGACATCTGTCAGGGATGATCTAGATGGTGCTTGGTCCTGCCATGAGGGCAAGGGACTGGACTTGATGATCTCTTGAGGTTCCTTCCAGTTCTAATGTTCTATGATTCACACCGTTTTTCTGGACAGGGTTTAAACCCCTCTCTCACCTTCCTTGGAGAAGATGAATAGACAGACCCAGCAGAAGTCCTGAGGCAAGGGCATGCCTCTCACAGGGGTCCAAGCCAGGGCTTATACACTCTCTTGGCAGGACACTGGACTGCATATATTTTGCTGGACTCTTACCTCAGAAGAGGCAAAGTCAACTGTCCAGAAGGCTACATCACTACGTCCAAACAATGGACTACCACAGCACTGGAATGATTGCTGGCAAGGGACACTGCAGACAGGAAACCAGTGAATTTACCACTAGGCAGCATCACCAGTAAACTCAGCTCCCACCACAGTCATATACATAAATTTTCAAAAATACACAACTATTCAAAATATGTGAAATCTTCATAGAAATTATGTTGATCAAAAACAAACATGTTTTTAAAAATTAAAAACACGTTAACTTGTTCTTATCATACATTTAGTGGCGGATCCTAATATTAATAACACATCTAGACTTCTATATCTATTTTTTTTCAAAATATGCTTCAGTTATAAAACTCTGTATTTGTTCTGTTGGTTAGATCTATACTTCTTAAATGAAGTCAACAGCTGCTGCAGAATGCAAGAAGTAAGCAATGATGAAAGAAATCAATAGGCATTCATTGTAACTATAATGGAAGGCGATAGAAGCAACCGGAACATAGAAGTATGCTGGAATACATTTAGTGCTTTCTACCTACCCTTTTCAACAGCATTTTAGAGTAATATTAGTCTAGTATTTATGAGTATTTCCCCTGTTTGAAAGCTAAAAAAATATAACAATGCATGCCCTCTGGGCTCATCATCCCCTCACTGGGGTCCAAATACACCCAAATCCTCAGGCACGGCAATGTTTATATGCTTCTCTGCACTTCTTGAACTAGCTCTCCCTTGGATGGAATTCAAATTGCCTATTCAGCACTCTGTGGGCTTGGCTTTTTCTTCAGTGGGCAAGTGATGGAGGAGGAGCTGTTTTCTCTTAGGCCTACTCACTCAATGCAGGTGCCAAAATAAGCTGTATCACATAATTGTGCAGATCTTCATAATATATTGCTCTCTCTTCTGCTTTAATGAACAGGGCATTAAAAATGATGACATTTAAAGTATTATTCCTGGCTTCCAAGTTAGTACACATTGAAATAAATGGGGCAAGTCACACCTCTTAGAGTTGCTGGTTTGTATTTTATAAATGCAGGTAGACATCACTGCAATCACTTAACCTTGAAAATGCAACCTCAGTGCGTCTCAGAAACCACCCTTATTAGAGAGTTTAAAAAAAATTATTATGAAGTAAGCAAAGTCTTAGACTGTGTAGAACACAAAGGCAGCATGAAAAAGGTGTCAAAATGTCACACAGGAGCTGAATCTGAGCCTTCAGCTTCATTTTAGCAGTTCCAGCATATGGGGGGAAGGGGGGAGAGAGAACCAACTCCTCCTTTTAACTTTTAACCAATGTAATTTAAAAATTTTATTAACTTCACTGTTTTTAAGAAACATCCCGGCTACGTCTAGACTGGCATGATTTTCCGCAAATGCTTTT